GGAAGGGCTTCTACTTCTTCAAAGAATGTACATTTTAAATAAATTTTTAAAAATATGTGCCTTGTGCTTAATTCTGTTTAATTTTTTAGTTTTTTAATTGACAAATAAAAGTTGTGCCTATTTTTCAATTTAATTTTTTTTTTTTTTTTTTTTTTTGGAGTCGGAGTCTCACTGTTGTCCAGACTGGAGTGCAGTGGCCGCTCCCGGCCACCGCAGCCTCGACCTGCTGGGCTCCGGCGATCCTTCTGCCTCAGCCTTCCAAGTAGCCGGAATTACAGGCATGCGCTACCACGCCTGGCTGATTTTTTGATTTATTGTAGAGATGAGGTCTCGCTGCCCAGGCGGGTCTCGAACCCGCGGGCTCAGGCCATCCACTCACCTCAGCCTCCCAAAGGCACGGGATTACAGGCTGAGCCACCGAGCCCGGCTTCAATTTAATTTTTTAAGAGTTTACAAATCGATGTGCATTGATCCCATTTTTGTAAAAAAAATAAATAATAAAGATATGCATAGAAAAGGATTATGGGGAGGGACAGAGGATGTTTATTTTCTAAAATCTGTTTTCTACAATGACTGACAGTACCAAGATGGAGCCTTTTTTTTCTTTTTTGAGTTGGAGTCTCACTCCGTCGCCCAGGCTGGAGTGCAGTGGCCCTGCTGGGGTCCCATGATCCTTCGACCTCAGCCTTGCAAGTAACTGGAGCTACAGGTGTGCCCTACCACAACAGGTGTAGTTTTTGATTTCTTGTAGAAACGAGGTCTTGCCAAGTTGCCCAGGCTGGTCTCGAACCCGTGGGCTCAGACAGTCCACTCGCCTCGGCCTCCCAAAATGCTGGGATGACAGGCTGAGCCACTGAGCCGGGCCAAGCAGCCATTTTAACATTGCTTAGATCTGTCTTGTTTTTCCAGCAGTTCACTTTAATTTACACTCTAACACTAGGTTTCTCAGTGGTAGCTACTGATAATTGTCTTACAATCCCCCCTGGCTTGTTTTGTTAACCTAATCAGCCCTTCAGGCTGCAGACCCCAATAACATGGAAACCCTCTGTGACTGACCCTCCCATCTGCCTGCCATCCGTCACCTGAAGTCAGTATCTGTGCTTGCCTGTCCCCTTCATGATGACATGAAAAAGACCACCACCCAGTCACCTTAATGACCTGCCCCCCATCAAAGGGAAGGTCTAAAACCAATCAACCTCAAGCAGCCATTTGCCTTTGCTTTGTTAGACTCTGTGGTGTCCACCGGGCTCTTTGAGCTATGACTGCTATGTTTCCTAGCTTTGGACTCCTCCCCTACCTTAGGTGGTGAATTTCCTCTCTCTCTCTCTCTCTAACTTACTTTATAAATAAACCATACTTACCAATCTAACTCCTGTGCAATTCTCTGTATCTTTTGCAAAGAGCACATGGCCGTCCCATAGCTCAGCAAGGCAGTGGCACCACAGTTGCTCATTGGTTGGTCTTTTTAACCACTTCCCTTGGATGGGGGAAGGTCATGAAGGTGACTGGGTGTGGTCTGCACTGGATTGCAGAACAGACACCCGCCCCCCCAATCGGGCCTGACATAACATTTGGAGGCCCCAATGAGATAGTTGACCTAACAATGACTATATTCCTTCTATAATAAAAAAAGAAAATTAGAAACGTTTCTGAATCACTGTCCTGAAATCCTTAGTTAGACACATATACAGAGGGTGCCCCCCAAAAATGTATACACGTTTTGAGAAAGGAAAAAAACTTAAAATTGCAATGCTCAATAGGTACCATTTGACTTCTGCAATTACAAGAGTGGTTACCATCAGCATCCAGACACTTCTGAAAAGTTCTTTGAAAAGTAATACATCAATAACATCTCTTAAAACGTATATACATATTTTGGGCAACCCTGGTATCTTTTTCATCTCCATCTAAGAGAGTTCCTTGTCTGGGCGCGATGGCTCACACTGTAATCCCAGTGTAACCTCAACGCTAATAACAAATGTTAGAGTCCCACTCTCCCAGGGGGGTCTTCAGAATGTTAGGTCGGGCCCTCTGGGGTTGTGGGGTGCCTGGTATGTGATCCAATGCTGCATGAAAGATGCAAAGAATCGCACAGAAGTTAGAAGAGAAAATATCGTTTATTTAGAAAGTAAATTAGAGAGAGAAAGAGATTTGCCTCCCCAAGGTGGGGAAGCGAGGGCCAAAGCGCCAGAAAACATGGCCTGGGCATAGCTCAAAGAGCACATGGCCACACCATAGCTTCCCAAGGCAGTGACACCACGGCCGCTCATTGGTTGACTCTTTTAACCACTTTCCCTGGATGGGGGAAAGGTCATGAGGATTGGGTTTGGTCTGCTCAAAGGCATCACGAAGGGGCAGGTAAGCACAGGTACTGACGTCAGGTGATGGACAGCAGGCAGATGGGTGGGCTAGATGGAAGGAAACAAGGGGAAGGGTTTTTCCTGCTACAGATTTGTCAGAAGTTTCCAATCCACAATTTTCTTTAGCAAAAAGGTGGTCTTATTATTATTTCTACGGCTTCAGTCGGCTAAGGGGCCTGAAAGTTTCTTAAAGACTTTTATGCTAAACCATGAGTTGAATGGTTGGGTTGTGGGCTGTCCTTGTCTCGCATCCTATGGAGATTTGCCAGGGGGTGCGGGAGGCTGCCAGCTTGGCCTGCAGTAGAATGTCCCAACGCTTCCTAAAACCTGCCTTTTGGAAACTTATCCAGCTATATCTAACCTGTGCTAGATTCAAAGTGAGTCAGGGGCAAAGTCTAAACAAAATGACTTTACTGAGGCAAAAAGACCACGCTAAACTAAGTGTATTCTGGGTTTCTACAGGCACCTCCTTTCATCAAATATCATTACAGTAAATTTATTAAATCTCAGGAGAAGCCTTTTGGATACTGAATAAGACAAAAGCCATAACGCAGTAAGTAGAGAAGTGAGAGCACAGTTTCTACCTTTCTCAACAGCTTTTCTCCTTCTTATTAAGCCAAGTTTTTCTGTAAATAACTCATTCCTGTTGGTATTTAAGGACAGGAGGGAAGGAAGATCACTGAATGGAGGAGACTGGAAGAGAGATCTTACAAGACAACAGGAGGTCTCTGGCGGCACCCCCAGTCCATCCCCGTCCTTTCTAGGGCTTGGCTTTGACCATCCCAGAATGTGATCGGGGGTTCCTCTGAGAGACCCAAGAAACCAAGAAACTTAAAAAGCCATACTTGCTGGAAAAGTAGTGTTTAGCTCACTATATTTTATATATCCCTACCTCATGTTCATTGTACTTTATGAAATCTTAGTACTTTAAATCCTACCT